TCTTCATAAAAGAAGACTATCACAATTACATAAGTATAACATAGTGACTAAAATTGTACAAAGTCTTCCAATTGCAAAACCTAGCCCAAGAACGGGGGAGGATTACCCAATTCTTATAAGGACTATTATCCCTAATCATAAGAGATCTTAACAGCAGTTAATCATAAACTTCTGAGATTTAGGAGAAAGCTATTGCATCATTTTCTACTTGTTTCTATTATTAGTTTATGTTCACGCTAAACTCACATTTTGATTCACTAAAACCAATCAATAATATCATCTATCAAAATGCAAATAAATATAGAAGCTCTGGAAGAACGTTTGAAGGTCGAATTTCAGGATGAAAATAAGTCAGAATATTAACTATGTTAGGAAACCAATTCTTTGTAATTGGCATTTTATTAAGATAAAATTGTTAGGATGAAATAAGCTCTAAAAAAGTGCTTAAAAATTGAGATAAAAATAATTCAATTCTTTTTTAACTGAACATATCTTATTTTGAAATTCCATTTGGAAACCAAGTATCAAATTTTGACCACCCAAACAGACCCTAAATTTGACACCTCAATATTTCTTTGCATCTCACAAGTCATAACCACCAAACTGAAAATATGCACAGGATTCAAATAACAATATTACAGCAACCATGCAATCAGTAGTGGATCACCAAGTCAATTCTACCTGTAAGTAGTACGCATGCTCCCAAACATCAATGCCAAGCAACGGAACCAAATTTGGTCCCTTGGTAACCAGTGGGTCCTGCATACAAAATGTTCATAAGTACATGTGAAAATCAATAGACATATATGCAGAGAGAATAAACATGGTTCACTAAAGCTAAAAAAATGAGTATGAGGATCGAGAAAAGACAAAAAACTCTAACTAGTTCCTTCTCTTATCTATAGTTTTCACTATAGCAATATTTATACATCTGAACACCATTAAAATTTGAAGAAGTCCTCCACATTCCAACAATGTCACTCAATACTAATTGGGTCCCAACACTTTTTTGTTAATTTAGAATTAAGTCCTGGCTATTTTAAAATATCGTAGCAGGTCGCTGTAATCATTAATTGCTAAAACTTCATTAGAACTGAACTGACATGACTGAAACTTGTCTTAACAGATCTAGAAAAAATGAAAACAGGCCAAATTACTTCTGCAACCTTCAACTATAAGTCAACCATTGATTCAGAGAGAGCAAGATTAAATAGAGCTAGAGAGAAAAAGTTCACCTGAGATCTGTTGGTGTTTTGGAGGTTGGGTCTAGACTAATAAATTGAAAGAAGCAGTTTGATAGCCAGATCAGAAAAGAATAAAATGGCAGTCAAAGAGAATCAACAGTTTAAAGAGATGAATTGGGGGGAAAACTGATAAGATATGGCGGCAGGTGACTGCAGGTCCTCCCGTGGTCATACTTAAAGCTAAAAAATATTTTTATTTTTTTTGTTTTTTTTTTTTTTTTATTAATGACAAGAGAAAATGAACATGAAAAAGAGATTAAAAACGAATGGAAGGACAAATAAACACAGTTGGTTTACACAGGTAAATATAGTTTGATATGCATATAATACATTTTATTTTTGTCCACCAGGCAAGATATTCTTTACTTAGAGAAATAGGAATTTACAAAGCCTTACTACAAGTATTGTTTGGTGAAGTATTCTTTGACTGTTGACTATCAAGTAAAAGATCTTGAAAGGTGTGACAACTTACAAGTGATACAAAAGAAATACAAAAAGGGAGAATTGGAGGCCAGACCAAAGGACTACTTTCATTTATTTTCTTTTTTAATGTTACTGCTGATCTATGAAGCCTATTAGGATCATGTAGAAAATGATGAGGGGAAATGACGATGGAAGGGTCAGTTTACCTGGTTGGCAGTGGTTTCAACTACAAGCCTCTTCAACTCTTTGTCCAGACCAAGCCACTGGCAAGGCAGTACAGAATACGCAAAAGGAAGCAACATTTCAAACAACGACCAAGACATTAATGCAAGGAACGAAAATATTCTGGGAATTTCAGAATCTGATCAACTCACCACCCAACCAGACCCCTGCAGTGCTGCACCTTCTGCATTAACTTTTTGTATCAATGCTTCAAAAGAGCCAAAATGCGTGTCAATAGCCCATCCCAGTGGACCCTTCGGTGGTTCACCACCTCCTTCCTACAAAAGGGGAGAAGTTTTATTAGGTAAAAGACTACCAAAGACCAAATACATCCAAAAAATAGGATAAAGATACAAACTTACACGAACAGGAGCTAGATTTTTCCAGAAAATAGAATGGTTGATATGACCTGCAAGAAATGATCCTTAGTTGTACATTTAGAAAACTTTAAAAACCATGGAAGATATAGCCTGGCTCCATCACTCAAAAGTCTGTTTGGTTCATTCTTAAACCAGGCATAATTTCTCACACAAAGAGTAAAATATGAAAAAATATGCAACCACTATTCATTCTCATCAACCAATCCATCTTAGTATAGATGCTACACACCAACCACCCCCTTCGGATTCCAAGCAGAATGACAACAATAAAATTTTGGGAAACACACACAAGCACTCAAAGATCCATGTTACACAACTACTGCATTTGGGTAAAATAAAAATTGTGTTCGTTCGAGTACGAAACAAACGGATTGGTCGTCATTTTAAGCATCTGTGCCTCAATGCCTAGGATACAATACAATACGTTACTTTCACTAAGTACTACCAAAATCACAGCGGCGTATTAAGCAAATCCCCACTCCCCTGCCTGTATTTTACACCTGACCTATTACATCAACAAAGGCCACTTACTTATCATCCACAACACAACAAACTAAATAATCCACTGTCAACTATTCACGACTCGATATTAATTCAATGAACAAATCACGCAGTCGCCGTAATTCAGCATTCGATAAACCAAAACTAAAAGAAGAAACGAAAAAGAAAGAGAAAGGGGAAGCAGACCTCCGCCGTTGAACTTGATGGCGGCCTGGAGCTTAACGACGGCAGAGGAATCGGCCTTGGCAACGGCATCTTGGAGCTGCTCAAGAGCCTTGTTGTAGTTGGTGATGTAAGTCTGATGGTGCTTCTGGTGGTGGAGCTGCATGATTTCACCGCTGATGGCTGGCTCCAGTGCGCCATAGTCGTAGTCCAGATCAGGTAGCGTGTACACATGCAAACCGCGGGAATGAGTAGCCACCGCTGCGCCTACTCCGAGAGGCCTCGCGTCATTGCGGAGCACCGATGCTAGGGTTTTTCTGGTCAATAGGGCTCGCGCAGCCATCGGGAAAGATATGGAGACCTTCTGCGACACACCTAAATGAAGGAGATTCGGTGACAGAAGAGTGGATGGAATTATAAATCAAATATTTTGTCACAAAATAAAATGCTAGTAATACATATGTTCCCGTATTTAATACAGATTATATGATTAATTTATCGCGTAAAAGGATTTATAATTGAATGGTGTATATTTTTGTCACCCTATAAATAATTGTTTACTTACTAATTAAAACTGATGTTTTGAATTGACTAACTTATTTGTATTTAGTAGTATTTCTAAATATAGTGATTGAATATTAAAGGGTGTACACGCGTGCATAACTGCACACCAGTTTCAATGGGCTTGTTACACCACAGCACCACCTGCCGACGCTGCGTCTATTTATTTACTACTATTATTTTATTCGGGAAACAAGTCACGCGTTAAGCATGTAACTAGTATAATCAATCACTCAATATTCTCATTTCAAAATAAATAATGTAAATGCTCTTAGTTCAAGCGTTGTTGACAATGCATTCAAAAGTTAGAATAATGTTTTATCCCCACATCCACCCTCAGCTCTAGGTACCATACTACTGTCATTGATTGTCTTTCAAGGCGGAAGTTCTACTTATTTTCTTGCAATAAATACGCGAATTGATAATTCGTTAGTTTCTATACATAACATTGTTGCATCAGTAAAATGGATACCGAAATTTCCAGCTTATAAGATATTTGACATTGAGTCGGTTTTCACATAATAGATTTGATGAACCTTCATCAAGGTTGAATGTCAGTACAGTATTTTACAAAAGTGAAAAGTATTTCCTTACATTAACAAGATAAACACGTATTTACCCAAATATATCCTTAGCAAAGTATGTTCCTACTCCTAGATCCTAATTATTTTACATGCTTCCTCATTTCATTCACTCGTAACCGTATCTGCCGCACGCTTTAATTGAAGTAGTCAACATGGGAAGCAAAATCAACTGGGAAATCAGAAATATTTTTCTTGGCACTATCCTTAAAAGAGCATAAGTTTCAATTTATATTACAATATACAAAAAAAAGATAAAGGGCAGGAGTATAATGCGGTCGTCATGCTTCAAATAAGTTCAGCTTCAAAAAAGAAATAATACAATAAAGACTGGAAGAAATGACTACTTTTTGGTATAGCAATACCATCAGTACATATAAAAAACACACGGGAAAAACTCTGAATAAAAAAATAATAATAACCGGTAGCTGTTTATACGTTATTCAGGCAAAGAAAAAAGTTTGGATATCTATATGAAATTATAATGTAACATGATGTGAAAACATCACCAGAAACTGTATGATACTATNAATGACAAGAGAAAATGAACATGAAAAAGAGATTAAAAACGAATGGAAGGACAAATAAACACAGTTGGTTTACACAGGTAAATATAGTTTGATATGCATATAATACATTTTATTTTTGTCCACCAGGCAAGATATTCTTTACTTAGAGAAATAGGAATTTACAAAGCCTTACTACAAGTATTGTTTGGTGAAGTATTCTTTGACTGTTGACTATCAAGTAAAAGATCTTGAAAGGTGTGACAACTTACAAGTGATACAAAAGAAATACAAAAAGGGAGAATTGGAGGCCAGACCAAAGGACTACTTTCATTTATTTTCTTTTTTAATGTTACTGCTGATCTATGAAGCCTATTAGGATCATGTAGAAAATGATGAGGGGAAATGACGATGGAAGGGTCAGTTTACCTGGTTGGCAGTGGTTTCAACTACAAGCCTCTTCAACTCTTTGTCCAGACCAAGCCACTGGCAAGGCAGTACAGAATACGCAAAAGGAAGCAACATTTCAAACAACGACCAAGACATTAATGCAAGGAACGAAAATATTCTGGGAATTTCAGAATCTGATCAACTCACCACCCAACCAGACCCCTGCAGTGCTGCACCTTCTGCATTAACTTTTTGTATCAATGCTTCAAAAGAGCCAAAATGCGTGTCAATAGCCCATCCCAGTGGACCCTTCGGTGGTTCACCACCTCCTTCCTACAAAAGGGGAGAAGTTTTATTAGGTAAAAGACTACCAAAGACCAAATACATCCAAAAAATAGGATAAAGATACAAACTTACACGAACAGGAGCTAGATTTTTCCAGAAAATAGAATGGTTGATATGACCTGCAAGAAATGATCCTTAGTTGTACATTTAGAAAACTTTAAAAACCATGGAAGATATAGCCTGGCTCCATCACTCAAAAGTCTGTTTGGTTCATTCTTAAACCAGGCATAATTTCTCACACAAAGAGTAAAATATGAAAAAATATGCAACCACTATTCATTCTCATCAACCAATCCATCTTAGTATAGATGCTACACACCAACCACCCCCTTCGGATTCCAAGCAGAATGACAACAATAAAATTTTGGGAAACACACACAAGCACTCAAAGATCCATGTTACACAACTACTGCATTTGGGTAAAATAAAAATTGTGTTCGTTCGAGTACGAAACAAACGGATTGGTCGTCATTTTAAGCATCTGTGCCTCAATGCCTAGGATACAATACAATACGTTACTTTCACTAAGTACTACCAAAATCACAGCGGCGTATTAAGCAAATCCCCACTCCCCTGCCTGTATTTTACACCTGACCTATTACATCAACAAAGGCCACTTACTTATCATCCACAACACAACAAACTAAATAATCCACTGTCAACTATTCACGACTCGATATTAATTCAATGAACAAATCACGCAGTCGCCGTAATTCAGCATTCGATAAACCAAAACTAAAAGAAGAAACGAAAAAGAAAGAGAAAGGGGAAGCAGACCTCCGCCGTTGAACTTGATGGCGGCCTGGAGCTTAACGACGGCAGAGGAATCGGCCTTGGCAACGGCATCTTGGAGCTGCTCAAGAGCCTTGTTGTAGTTGGTGATGTAAGTCTGATGGTGCTTCTGGTGGTGGAGCTGCATGATTTCACCGCTGATGGCTGGCTCCAGTGCGCCATAGTCGTAGTCTAGATCAGGTAGCGTGTACACATGCAAACCGCGGGAATGAGTAGCCACCGCTGCGCCTACTCCGAGAGGCCTCGCGTCATTGCGGAGCACCGATGCTAGGGTTTTTCTGGTCAATAGGGCTCGCGCAGCCATCGGGAAAGATATGGAGACCTTCTGCGACACACCTAAATGAAGGAGATTCGGTGACAGAAGAGTGGATGGAATTATAAATCAAATATTTTGTCACAAAATAAAATGCTAGTAATACATATGTTCCCGTATTTAATACAGATTATATGATTAATTTATCGCGTAAAAGGATTTATAATTGAATGGTGTATATTTTTGTCACCCTATAAATAATTGTTTACTTACTAATTAAAACTGATGTTTTGAATTGACTAACTTATTTGTATTTAGTAGTATTTCTAAATATAGTGATTGAATATTAAAGGGTGTACACGCGTGCATAACTGCACACCAGTTTCAATGGGCTTGTTACACCACAGCACCACCTGCCGACGCTGCGTCTATTTATTTACTACTATTATTTTATTCGGGAAACAAGTCACGCGTTAAGCATGTAACTAGTATAATCAATCACTCAATATTCTCATTTCAAAATAAATAATGTAAATGCTCTTAGTTCAAGCGTTGTTGACAATGCATTCAAAAGTTAGAATAATGTTTTATCCCCACATCCACCCTCAGCTCTAGGTACCATACTACTGTCATTGATTGTCTTTCAAGGCGGAAGTTCTACTTATTTTCTTGCAATAAATACGCGAATTGATAATTCGTTAGTTTCTATACATATCATTGTTGCATCAGTAAAATGGATACCGAAATTTCCAGCTTATAAGATATTTGACATTGAGTCGGTTTTCACATAATAGATTTGATGAACCTTCATCAAGGTTGAATGTCAGTACAGTATTTTACAAAAGTGAAAAGTATTTCCTTACATTAACAAGATAAACACGTATTTACCCAAATATATCCTTAGCAAAGTATGTTCCTACTCCTAGATCCTAATTATTTTACATGCTTCCTCATTTCATTCACTCGTAACCGTATCTGCCGCACGCTTTAATTGAAGTAGTCAACATGGGAAGCAAAATCAACTGGGAAATCAGAAATATTTTTCTTGGCACTATCCTTAAAAGAGCATAAGTTTCAATTTATATTACAATATACAAAAAAAAGATAAAGGGCAGGAGTATAATGCGGTCGTCATGCTTCAAATAAGTTCAGCTTCAAAAAAGAAATAATACAATAAAGACTGGAAGAAATGACTACTTTTTGGTATAGCAATACCATCAGTACATATAAAAAACACACGGGAAAAACTCTGAATAAAAAAATAATAATAACCGGTAGCTGTTTATACGTTATTCAGGCAAAGAAAAAAGTTTGGATATCTATATGAAATTATAATGTAACATGATGTGAAAACATCACCAGAAACTGTATGATACTATACGGCATATCTGTTGGCCAATAGAATTCCGACATGACCATGTACTTGTTCCCCTCCCTAATATTGTTGGTCGGCAAACGGTTCTGAAAATATTAGACTATAGCTACTGAGAAAAATGACAGGGACATGTATTTGGCAGCAATTCCAGTTCCTAATTCCAAATGGATCACGGGTGTTAACCCTCTATAAGGACTATAACTGTTCTTGACAATGCTATAACGAAAGCCCATTAAACATACTAGTCTTTGCTCTTGCTCCATACAGGAGACAACTGTCTCTGTCCAATTGTATCACTCACAACCGCACTTCCATTTTCCACATTGATCAGTGGATCCGATTCACCTTCCCTTGTCTGGAAAAGTTAAGAAGAAATAGTGACAGAATGTACTTCTAGAAATTATTGTTACAGTGCAAAAACCAAGACATGCAAAGTTCTCCGAACAAACCTGGGATGCTTGTGATGAAGATTCAACGGTTTTTTGCTGGTTCTCAAGTGTGCAATAGTAAGAATATAAAACCATCCCCACCATGGCTATCATAATTCCCAGAATGTTTCTCCAGCTAAATGGGTCTTGGAGTAGTATATAACCAAATGCCAAAACAAGGCATGTCTTCAGGTGTCCAAGAACCTGATAGGTCACAGGAGATGTCTTTCCAATAACAAGGAATGTACTAAAATTGACTGAGATGGAGATAAGGCAGGAAAGGATAATGAAAACCTGCAAGGCAGAAAGAAGCAGTTGATAACACGTTAAAAAGAGGAGTAGAACAAGGTTATCAGATTCGAGAGTTTACATAAACTTGTGAGAGTCGAGTAAACTCAACTCGTAAACTCGTAAGAGTTTACTTCAGATGAAAAAAAATTATATAAATAATATCTTAATTCAAATAAGTTTACAAAGTTATATAACTTTAAATAAATAAAATTTATAGTTATATTGTTCATAAAAATAAAAATAAATATTGGCAGAAAGGGCAGAAAGGTGCGCCCAACACCGGCGATCACAACGTCGGAAGTCGCTCCATGAGAGGAGCCGCCACGCGCCGCCATTGTCGTCGGCGCATGTAGCTCACGCTCCCATCTCCGGCGAGACCCACTCGCCGCCGATGCCACAGACAGGGTTGCCGGAGCCCCCTGAGTCTATTCCTAGGGACGGTAACGACTCGTTTTGGCTGTATTTGAGTAGATCTGCGTTTTAAGTTTTGCTCTTTTTTTCTCGGTGTAACCCACTGGCCGTCGCCACCACAGAAGAGTCGTCGGAGCCTCCTGAGTCTGTTTTTAGGGTTGGTGACGATTCGTTTGGCCTATATTTGAGTAGATCTGAGTTTTAAGTTCTGCTCCTTTTTTCTCGGTGTGACTCATACGTCGTCATCGTCTTGGAGACTCCTGGTTGCGTTCTAATGGATGTCTGAAGTAAAAATTATTCCTTTGAAAGCAATGGATGAATCAATGATTAAGCCCTTTGGATCATGTACTCTGTCCATAAAAGGTAAAATTTGCCTCAATACTGTTGATCATGTGTCTCAAGGTACTTGGATCCTTGATTCGGGTGCAACTGATCATATGACACCTTTCAGTGTGTCCTTCGACTCATATGGTAAAAGAAATAAAGAATAACTTATTATAGTTGCGAATGGTCAAGGTATACCTATATGCGGCTCTGGGAATATAATTTTGGACTCATCTATTGTATTAAAGGATGTTTTACATGTTCCTCAATTAGCTAATAGTGTTATCTCTGTGCAAAAAACTCATAAAAGATTTAAATTGTTCAGTAACATTTTTTCCAACTTATTGCCACAGGGAAGACAATTTTAACTGCTAAGGAGCAGAGCGGGTTGTATTTTTTAGTGTTTAATGACCAAAGCAACACAAAAATCATGAGTCAACAAGCTACATCTGAGACGTGGGCAAAATCTCAAATATGGTTACATCATCAAAGGCTTGGGGATCCTTCATTTAGTCTTATCAAGTTCTTGTTTCCCCACTTGTTTACCAAAGAGTCTGTTGAGTCTTTTAATTGTGATATTTGTCAATTGTCAAAACATTATCGTGCATCTTATCCTATTAGTCACAAAAAGAGTATTTCTCCATTTGATTTAATTCACTCTGATGTTTGGGGTCCTGTCATAGATTCTATTTCCGGAGCCAAATGGTTCGTTACCTTTATTGACGATTATACCCGTGTCTCGTGGACATACCTTATGAAAAATAAGTCCGAAGTTTTTCAAATTTTTGTTAATTTTTTCTATCTTGTCCAAAATCAATTTGGAAAAACATCAAAAGAATCAGGTCTGATAATGGTACTGAATATGTGAATCATGAATTTCTCAATTTTTTGTCTCATAATGGTATTGTTCAGGAACTAACTTGTGTTAACACCCCTCAACAAAATGGGTTTGCAGAAAGAAAGAATCGTCATCTTCTTGAAGTAACTAGAGCTCTTCTCTTTCAAATGTCTGTTCCAAAAAATTATTAGGGAGAAGCTGTGTTAACTGTCACATATCTCATCAACAGGTTACCCACTAGTATCTTAAATGGCATTAGTCCTATAGAGTCTCTATTGTCTTTTCTTCCTTCTGTTCCCTACTAATGAGTCTACCTAGTCGAGTCTTTGGATGTATTGTTTTTGTTCACTCTCATCTTCCTAACCGTGGTAAATTAGATCCCAGAGCTCTTAAATGTGTCTTTATTGGGTATCCTTCTAATAAAAAAGGGTACAAATGATTTTCATCCAGAGTCCTTCACACATTCCTTGAGCAAGGGCTCGAAATTCAGCTTCTGCACTAGAACGGGATACTCTATCTTACTTTCTTGGTACAATAGAAAGATATAAAGTTAGATTGGTGGCAAAAGGATATACCCAAACATATGGGATTGATTATGAGGAGACATTTGCCCTAGTGGAAAAGATGAATACAGTTCGAGTTATTCTCGCTTTGGTTGCCCATTTTGGATGGGACTTACACTAGCTGGATGTGAAGAATGCCTTTCTTCATGGAAATCTAGATGAGGAAGTGTACATGGAGATTCCCCCAGGTTTTGAAGTGAAAAATGAAAGAAACAAGGTATGCCTCTTGAAGAAAGCATTGTATGGTCTTAAGCAATCCCCTAGAGCATGGTTTGGAAGATTTACAAAAGCAATGGTTTCCTTGGGATATAGACAAAGCCAAGGAGATCATACTCTATTCATAAAGCACTCTTCTACAGGTAAACTCACTTTATTGCTTGTCTATGTAGATGATATGATTATTGCAGGAGATGATGAAACAGAAAAATTGGCATTAAAAGAAAAATTGGCAGCTCTATTTGAAATGAAAGACCTAGGAAAACTCAAATATTTTCTTGGAATAGAGGTTGCCTACTCCAAGAACGAAATTTTCATCTCTCAGAGGAAATATGTACTTGATCTCCTCAAAGAAACAGGAAAGCTAGGATGTAGAACCTCAACAGTTCCAATAGAACAGAATCACAGAATTGAAAGTGAAGAAAGTGCTCCTGTAGAGAAGGCCCAATATCAGAGATTGGTGGGGAAATTGATTTATCTATCACACACAAGACCAGACATTGCTTATGCAGTTAGTGTAGTGAGTCAATTTATGCATGATCCAAGAGAGAGACACATGCAAGCAGTTGACAAAATTCTCCAATACTTGAAGTCAAGTCCAGGAAAGGGGCTATTATTCAAAAGAAAAGACACATTGACTATGAAGATATATACTGATGCTGACTATGCAGGTTCTATTACTTACAGAAAATCTACTTATGGGTATTGTGTAT